GGGGTAAACTCACCATGTACAGCGTGAAGGGGAAACACAGCAGAAACAGCCAGATGTAGAGATGTAACGCGTTGACGAATGTATTTTGATCGGGGTCGTAGTACCATCCGCCTGTGACTGAAGCCCAGACCCCCTGCCTCAGGATCTGCAGAGTCTGCGACCCCATGTTTAGGGGGTTCTTATCTACTCCCGACCGACGAATCCAAACGGAACCGACCGACGGGGGGCACAACCCGGGAGTGACACGCTGGCTAGTCGTCGGTGAACATGACAAGCGGCGCTGTGTTTTCAGACACTGGCCCGAGAATCCTCCCCTCTGCAGCCATCCTGTCTTCTTCTGTCTTGCTCGTTGTTTCAGTCCTCCACGGAGGAATCTCCTCACCCACCACGCCTGCGAGAGGTCTTACTTCCCGTGCAGGTCGCTTCTTGCGCGGTAGGTTAGACGCGGCAGAGACGGCGGCCAGCTGGTCGCGTTGTGAAGTAAAACTTAATGCATTTTTAGTGTGTTGCTTCGTTGTGGTTTCGCCGCCTCGCCCAGCTCGAGGTCGTCCTGAGATTTCTGCTCGTGTTTTGTGTGAACATATTCTGACTGCCAGACGATGGTAGACATTAAAATGGATTGTTCTAGGAGCTCGGTGCCAAGTGTGGCTCAATTGCGACACCTGGTGGTCAAACTGTCGTACTGTTGCTAGAATTTTACTTTTTTTTTGTTTATTTTTTTGGTAAGTCTTGAACTAAAAAGACAAATCAGAGGTGGAAGCAGGTGAAAAGGTACAGTTTAAATACATTTACGTAAAAGTACATCAGTATACAAAGAGCACCCTGCTACGCAGAGGAAATGCCCGTCCGTCGTTGTATTCTGTTATTTTATTGTCTTTTTTTTACTGTTGCTGCCTAGTATTTGTGTTATTAGTGTATCTGTTTGTGTTTTTATTACTGTTTTTCTCTCTATCTTCTATTATTATTATATATATTGTTTTTTTCATACTCTTATGTTCTTAATACGGTTTTTTTTTTAAAGGTACGTTAAATACTATTTATGTAAAAAGTAGATCCAGTATAAAAGCACTTGTACTGCGGAGAAATGCCCTCGTGACTTTATGTAGTCTATATTGTTATTTTTATTGTCTTGTGTCGACTGCTGCTGCTAGTATTTTGTGTTATCTGTGTTTATCTGTTTCGTTTTTCTCTTGTACAGTGTTTATATTATATTATTTCATACTGCTTCTTATACTGTCTTTATACTGTTTTTTTCTCTCTATCCACTTTGCTGCGTGTAGATTTGAAATTTCGCCCATATTGAATATCTTATCTTATTAGACACTGTAGGTTCAGGTGGAGCTAGTTTTATCTTCTTTTTATATTTATACAGTTTTGGTAGATTAATCCAGTGGTTCCCAAATCAGAGGTCTCTAATATTATTTAAAATATTGTTAAACTGCTGCATTGGTTTTTTTTTAACAATGCAGTATGTTTTATAAGCTTATTATATGCTTTTTAATGATCAATCTTTGTCTGTAAATTAACCAGTGACTCCAGCTGTTATGTGCAGTGGAGTAAAAACTATATTCCCTCCTGAAATGTAGCGAATTAAAAGTATAAAAGAACATAAAACGGTAAAATACAAGTGCCTCTAGAGAAGGTCGAATAATATAAATGCTTTGAGTTATGAGTTGTTGATCACGAGTCGGTTGTATTGTATTTTAGATGATATTTTGTTCAGATCATGAAGAAAAACTGTGATCAAGCATAACTCGAGATAACCTGTCAACAATCAAACACATGAGGATACAGAAGCTGGAACGTTTTAATACAAAAAACACAAAAAGCAGAGAATTCTTTACAAAAAAACAAACAAACAGATGAAAGTGTTTGAAATTAAAGAGAGGCGCTCAAATCAAGAATCCTTCTTGCTTTTTCAGATGAGATAACGCTTCATGACAAATCACCCTGAAAAGCAGACTGGGAATTAAACCGTCCTCTGAAGTCACTACAACACAAATATTATGCTGATGTCAACCGTAAACCGACACTGATGCTGAGGTCAGCTTATCATCAAAAACCTCATCCTTAGCGAATACTGCTAAATGCCTGCTGACATCAAGCATTTAACCCCCTGTGCGTAGTGCAGCTGCCTCAAGTGTCCATGATGCCAAACCTATCACGTGTGCAGGACTTATGTTACAGTGTAAAAGCAGCCCTGGCACCGAGACAAGCAACTGACGCTTTTTGTGCCAGCTCATTATTAGCATCCTGTAAACTGATCAAATGAGCAGAGTGAAGAGGGAACAAAAATACTCCCAAGCTGTTCTCCCGAGTTAGTGCTGTAGGACATCACGTTTCCTTGCTCCATCTTCACAGAGTGAGAGAAGAGTGTCACTGTAGCCGTGCTCTCTTCTCAGGAGGCGGTTTGCTTGGTGGAGCCGGGGCGGAGGCCTTTGTGGCTGGTTCTCTTTCCTCTTGTTTTACAGTTTCTGTGGGGGGTTCGGGCTCTTTCTTCACCTCAACTGCAATACAAGAGCATGCAATTAGAGGAAAACTCCAAATCTGAACACCATCTACCAAGGACAATATTACACATAGACCCTGGGTTATAGGTGGGGTAAGCAATTCTAGGTAATGGGATTCTAATTCAATATACTTTCTTTCAAACACAGCAAATAATTCTCCTCACAGTCTGCCACTTCTGCGTGTGTTTGAAATAAATTGAGTTGTTGTTTACACAGCCCTGTGCTCTTGTTAAATGGGAAACTTATATACAAAGCGATGTCGAACCATAGCCGACATCAGATCCTTAAATTTGCTGGTATTTTTCCGGTTGCTTTCGTGTCTACCCCTTGTTTTTCTTTTTCTTGTTCCTTTTTTTTGGTTTTTGTTCAGTTCTTCGTCAGCAGGGTTTCGTGCTGCGGCCACAGCTACAGTCCACGTTTTCGTCCCTTTCCTCGCCCGTCCGACTTCCGCCTTTTATTACTTTGCGCACGGCATCAGTTATTCAGTGGCTGCTAGTTTGCCAAGATATGCTGCTGTTGTGATGTCAGCTATAGTAGCAGGAGAGTTGTGAGTGTTACTGTCTGGAGCTGGTGCGCTCGCTCTGGGAAACGGTCTCATCCTCGCTGCATGTTAGCTTTGCAGAAGCAACTTTAGCCACAGTTTGCAAACCCACAACATGGCCAACGTTAGTAACCGTACTTGCTGTGCCATTGTTTGCACTGTATCATGGTCATGGATTTGTCATGGTGTTGGATTTCTCCAGAAGGAATTTACAGCCCTGAACGTAATGTAACTGTTTAAAGATCATACCTGGAATAGGCTTCTCCCCAGGCTTAGGCTAAAATTGCAGAAAGAAAAACAATGTTATTTAAATCCAATCACATTAACATGAAATTAGTTCTACTATAGGACATTTTCAAATAAAAAGACTGAGAAAAATGTACCAATAATATCTGTTTCAAGTCGATGTAACATTTACCTGGTAAAATGTTGGTGGAAACTTGGACCTGAGGTCCAGAAGCAGTGTGTCAACGCGGTGCCTCTGAAACAGTGAACTCGGTTCCTCTTTCTTCTTAGACTTGGGCTTGGTTTTTTCTGTTAAACAGGAGTTGTGTTAACCAGATCTGCCAAAGTCATCATATTAAACTTATTATTATAAACATTTTGGGATCACAGAGTGCCCATAGCTCTGACTCTTGTAGTCTAATATCTGTGATCTCGTTACAGGAATTATTCCATTGCTAATTAGAGTACCACATAAATGTCTAAACTGTAAAATTCAAATCAAATGCCAAAGCCTAACCTCTCTCCTCCTGGTCCTTAAAGTGCCACCAGTATCCTTTGGAAGGGTGATAGCGGCAGTATGACATGGCCTCATCAAAAGCAGACTGGATTCCATGTACAGCAGAAAGCTAAAACATGTGCGACTGTTGTTACTCACAATAAAACCAGTCCACACACCAACCCCCCCTTCAACTGCCTTTAAAAATACACAGTTCCCAGTGTATTTTGTAGGATAATACTATACATTCTCACCGCTCTGGAGCTGATAACTGTTCCCAGGTCCGGGGCCTGATACACCACTCCTGCTATGATGTAGTAGTCAGCCATGGGAATGACTGGAGGATGAATAGAGTAGAAGTGGCAATAAGATCCTCACATAGAGCCTCAAACCAAACACTGTGTTTTATTTGTGACAGTTTTATGTATAAGATCATTTAATGACAAATCTAATAACTGACATTTAATTAAAACAGCTGTTTCAGATTGCTGTTTTATCAGTGTCCTGTCACCAGTGACCAGTTATATGCAGCTGGATAACGATAGGGAAGACACCTGTGTTCACCTGTATCACTGATACACCTGATACACTCATTAGGCTGCTTATCTTATGCTCTCCTTTGTTTTTTATCAAGCTCCCAGCTGTTTATTCTGCATATAATGTCACACTGTCATTACTAGTACTATTACATTCACTGTATATATCTTTCTGTTTATGCTGTATATGTTATTATCTACCCCTTACTGTTTATATATACATTCGTACATACTTTGCAACTGTGTTTTAGTTGTCTCTGTGCAATGACAGTAAAGTTGGATCTAAAACATGCACCTTGTAGACTGACTGACCAGTATGCCACAATTCAATTATTTGGAAATTCAATAAGACGCTCACACTGCTCACCTTGTGTTGGTGACTGCCTCTGTTGTTTACGGATTATGTAAAGAATTGGCTCCTGAGCATGAAGAAGAATGTACTCCACTCCCACCATCTGACTGAAAATAAGACAAGGTTTTGCTTTTTGTTGTGCATAATATTACGAAACATTTTCAGCTGGAAAAATATATTTCTAACCCTTACAACAGAATAAGTCTTAATAACTGTTATATCTGTGTGTAATTTTTGGTTTTGTACAAAGTCCACACATTAATGAATGAGCATGAATCATACAACACATTCAGTATCTTGTTTTGAGCTCTTAGATTAATGTGACAGTTTATTCCTTTGTTTCATTTATGTGCAACTCTCTTCCAAGTAACACCAAATCACACTGTGAAAGATGAACTCACTTCAGATGTTCCAGAGTAAGCCGCTGCATCTTCACTACCTCATTATTACAGGTTCGGTCATAGAAGGGGTTGCTTCTCTCCGAGAAGTACTCCAGTACGTTTCCCGGGTTAAGTATCGGTACCCAACCGCTGTCCACCCAGGATATCCCAAGAAGGTTGTCTACAAATTATAAGATAAGATATTCCTTTAATAGTCCC